TTACACTGGTTTCCATAAGATAAACCCAACTTTTCTTAAGTAATCAGGATATTGTTCTCAGAGAGCGATGTGACATGTAACACACTGTAGAAGCTATCACTCAGTAGAACCTAAAATGGTTTAGATTGTTCACACTGTTTTTTGCCTACTTTATCCTCGTCAAGGGAAGTAAGAGCCTCATGAATTTACTTTATAGCTCTCTTATTTTAGCATTTCTTGGATTTCACTTTAGGGTTGCAGCCTGCTGGCTATTACTCTATCACTTGAGCTATGCCTCCGGCTCTACTTTTTGCTGATTATTTTGCAGATGGAGTACAGGAAAATATTCTGCCAAGCTGGCATTGATTATGATCCTTCAAGTCTCAGCCTCCTGAGTATCTAGGTTTATAGGCATGAGCCCTTGCTACCCAAATTCTTCATCAACATTTTTAATATCCAAAATTAAGATGGAAAAATATTAAGCAGATGTATGCAGATGTTTATGTCATGAAAATCCTGAATATATTCTCAAGCTTCTCTTTCACAAAAGTGATAAATCGGTAGGCTTGTAAAATTTAAGAAATAAACTAATTTACAGTTACTTTTGTAGCACACTAACTAAAGGGTAAAAGTGGGTGGAAAAATAGATAGGATTCTTTGGCAAATTTAGTCAACAAGAATATGCACAGATCATATATAAGATGTCATGTTTACAAAGATACTTAAGAAAACTATTGTCTAGGAAAAAAACCACTTTTGCCAAGCACTGGTGGCCCATGCTGTTAGTCCTAACTACTCAGGAGGCTGAGATCTGAGGATTGCAAGCCAGCTAGGCAGACAAATCTGTGGTTCTTTTCTCCAACTAACCAGCAAAACGTTGGAAGTAGAGGTGTGGTTCAAATGGTACAACGCCAACCTTAAGTGAAAAAGCCAGGAAAGAGCAAAGGGCTCTGAATTCAAGCTCTGGTACAGGCACAGAAAGAGAGAGAGAGAAAGACAGACAGAAGGTAATATATGCCAAGTACTTTCCTTAGTGTTGAGTGAACACAAGCCCTGAAGAAGCCATGGCTTTATAATGATGGCTGTCCTTAGCCTTCTGTTAAAGATGAGGTAGGCCAAGAAAGCTCTAAGGGCTTGATGAAGTAGCTGTGCCTCGTCACTAGCATGAATAAGGGAACCTGGGCAAAGGCACTTACCATCTGAGGAGCTGAAGTGGACAGAAGTGCAAGAAAGTTGCTCTTGTCATTTTGGACATGGGTTAGACTAGAACAGCCCATTAGCATATGTTATGATGAGAAAACACAGCTGCACATGAAGTTCCCTTGCTTTTGATTTTTCTTACTTATTTTGTATTGTTATTATAAAGATGATACACAGCAGAGTTAAAGTTATATAAACCAGGTAAAGACTTTTAAAAGACTTCTTTTTGGACATAAAGTTCTCTTTTCTTTTTCATTTTCATTTTTTTGGCCAATCCTGGGGCTTGAACTCAGGGCCTGGGCACTGTCCTTGAGCTCCTTTTGCTCAAGGCTAGCACTCTACCACTTGAGCCACAGCTCTAGTTCTGGTTTTTTTCTGTTTTTTTTCTTCTGTTTATGTGGTACTGAGGAATCAAATCCAGGGCTTCATGCATGCTAGGCAAGCATTCTACTACTAAGACATCTTCCTAGCCCTAAGATTCCCCTTCTTTAATCAAAGAATCATGCCTGATTGAAGCTGTGTTTGAACCCATAACTGTTAGACTCAAGTAGTTCAATGCTTAACTGAACTGGATGGCTCTAGTTCTTCATTACCAATAGGCACATTGAACTGGTCTTCTTCTCCTTGCTTCTGTTTCTTTAATAACTCATACTTAACCAAATGTAGCTGGTGTGTAGAAAAGGGCCATTGATTCATGGTAAGAAGGAGCTCAATAGTCTAGTTCTTCTCCACATGTCTCTGAAGTTGTGATTCAAGCAAGAATGAGTGGGTTTCATTTACTCATTCATTATGTATTGAACATCTACTATGTATTCGGGACTTTCCTATGTGCTGAGATACAATGGAACAAAAGCTAACTACTTCCTGCTTTCATGAAACTCATTCTCTCCTGCACAAGGTAAACATAATCAACCTCAGAAATAAAATTGTTTTATTAAAAGTTATGATAATTGAAAAAGAGAAAGGGAAAATGAAATGAGGGAGGGAGGATATGAGGGAGGGAGGAAAGAAGGAAGGAAGTAAGGAAGGAAGGAAGGAAGGAAAGAAAAAAAGAAGGGTGAGGAGGGGAGGAGATGGGAGGAAAAAGGGAGGAGAGGAAGGAGGGGAAAAGTACAGCTTGCCAGAATGTTTGGAATAAGAAAGTTTATGGTTATGAATACTATTTCTTTTTTTAAATAATATGGTCTTTAGTTGTTGTACAAAGGAGTTGCCATTTAACAAAGCAGTTTATGAATTCAGTGTGTCTTGATCATTGTCAAGGTCTGCTAACCTGTAGACAAATTAATCAGAGAAAGAGGGAAAAGACCCAAATTTCATAAAATTATAATTGAAAAGGGGGTATTAGTAGGCATCACTAAAGTCCAGCAGATGATTAAGAAATATTCCAAAAAATGTATTCTAATCAAGTGGAAAATCTAGAATAAATGTGTAACTCCCTAGGCACATAGAACCTGCTAGAACTAAACCCAGTGCATATAACTCCCCAAACGAATCTGTGAAATACACAGTACTGAAGCAGCAGCAGTGGGGTCCCATGGTGTGGGGGGCTGAGGAGCCTCATGCACAGTTAGTGCAAAGCCAGACAGGGTAGACACTAGAAGGCAGCATCGAGGTTCATCAAAATTTGAAAGTAGAAACACCGCGTGCATGGACACTCCTGGGCAAAGATACTTCGTGGGATTTGTACCAAAGGGATCGGGTCAGCACACGATGAGACACCTGCACACGTGTTTACAGCAGCCAGGTTATGAGAGCAGCTTCAGGGCCCGTGGGCCCATGAAAGGAATAGGAAATGTGTGTGCAGGAAGGAGCATTACACAGCCATGGAGAGGAATGGATCCAGTATTTTCAGGAAAATGAGTGGAACTGGAGAACATCATGTCAAGCAAAATAAGTGGGATTTAGGAAAACATACTGTGTGCTTTCCTTTATATAGAGAATTTGGATCTGTTGTTTAAAGACCTGAAGGTTAGTAGAGGTGGGATACCCAATGTTGCCCTGCCCCAGCTCAGACTGGATCTTTGTGGTCTGATCTGCAGGTGCTCACTAGAAGTGAGGCAGGGTTAAGGAAAGCACTCTCTCCTCCAATCACAGTCACCTGAGGCAGAAGGTGTGAGCTACACAGGGTGAGGCTCACACATCAGAGGAAGAAGAACCTTAGAAGAGTTGTGACAATGCTCAGCTCTACCCACATTTAATTTAGATGTGCTGCAGTTTACCTATAGCTGTAATCTGCATAGCAAGTGACACATAAACCCATTATCCGACCTCTTGAAATGCAAAGAATAGTGATTTGACCTTGGTAGTTGTAAATAATAAATTACAAATTGCAATTTGAAATTACAATCCTCAAATTACAATTTCTTAGTTTGGGAGAATATTGTATCTGAATCATTGATTGATCTGCTTTACTATCAGTATTAAAACTTTGTTCAGGGATGGGAAGGTGGCTCAGAGGTAGAGCACTGGCCTTGCATGCCTGAGGCCCTGGGTTCGATTCCTCAGCACCACATAAGCAAAAAGAAAAAAGCCAGAAGTGGTGCTGTGGCTCAAGTGGTAGAGTGCTAGCCTTGAGCTGAAGAGCTGAGGGACAGCGCCCAGGCCCAGAGTTCAGGCCCCACATCTGGACCCAAAGAAAACACTTTCTTCATAAATGTCAACTAATGATCAATAAAGACCATTAAAAACTGCTCTGGGGCTGGAGAAGCCACTGAAGGCAGGACGAGCCTCCCAGGGGTTGGGTTGGGCAACCAGCATCACAGCAAAACCACAGGCAGATAGCCAGGTGAGCACCAGGTTCTGGATGATCCCCGCAGCCAGTGATTCCATCACGATCTCAAATATTGCCAGTTTTCTATCCAGCTCCTGACTGGGTCCTCTATTTAGCAAAAGTGATTGGGATTAATCCTGTGAGCACGCAGAATTAATGAATGCTAGTTGATTTGTACATGAAAATTAATTCCCTGTCTCACTCCTTAGACTTTATACATAAAAGATCTTCACAAATGCATTATTTGTGTGTGTGCCAGTATTGAGGCTTGAACTTAGGGCCTCACGATCTTGCTTAAAATTTTCCCTTAAGGCTGGCAATCTTCCACTTGAACCACACTTCCACTTATAGCTTTTTTCTGTTTAACTCAAAATAATTTTTAGCCTGTTGAACACATTCCAAATAAAATTGAACATTTCTGCATTATATCGACTTTTGCCAAATTTTTATCTACTTTGGAACAACTTCATGGCACAGAGGCACACAGAGTCTGTGTTTTACTGGATGAAGACAGGAATAAAAACAGTGGAATGAAAAAATAGTCATGTCTGTAGTTAAAGAAATCACTTCGTAAGATGTATAATCAAGGAAAATTGACTAATTAGACTAACTTTAGGATGGTTAGTACCTAATGTTTATCAGAAAAATGGCTAATTCCAAGTATACCAAGTGTTAATATAGTATAGTCACAGACTGCCACTTTTCATGAGGCTGATGGGTTCTTGGCTCCAGATTCAACTCTTCCTTCTTGCCCTTAGGAAAACAATGATGATTTCATGAATAGTCAGATTTGTGCATGCCATTTCTGATGTTCATCCAACAGCTGACAGCTCTTTAAGTGTTTTTAAACATGAGTTACTAAAACACACATACACACCAAATGTCACCAGAGGAAAGGCTCAATTCTGAGAAATAGAGACCACTATTAACACAGTGCCTAGCTCAGCCTCACCAGTGCCTGCTCACCTGTAAGCAAGTTGGGTTTAAACGGGAGCATTCTTTCTGAGGCAGGGCACTTGAGCAATCTACTAACGAATGTCTTCTCTTCTAGGTTTCCGAGGGGCTTCGAGGCCCCCAAGGCCCCCCTGGGGAAGAAGGTCAGAGGGTAAGTCTGGAACAACTCACAGGCATGACTAACTACTCAGGACTTGTTCATTTCAGAACACTAATAATTAAATAAGTAATTATAGCCAGTAGATAGGTCTGTGGGGAGCACCAACTACTCCTGGGCTGGACTTCGAGATGAGGTATTTGACAGGCAGCCTATACCTTTTCAAGGTTGACAGCAGGGGTGTGTAGGTAGCTCCTGGTGGAGTCAACCAGCCCAAATGTGGCTGAGGACACTCAGGTCATGTTTCCATTTCTGACCTTACATTAATTAGTATCTCTGGGAGTCCAGCTTGCTCATGAGTTCTGTAAGAATCAAGGGTATTAACCACATTCTTGGACCAATTCCTGATGTTACTCTTTTTTGTATATATTTTTTATTGTAAAAAGTACTATACAGCAGGGTTATAGTTACATGAGTAAGGTAATGAGTACATTTCCTATCCAGCATTGTTACCTCCTTTGTTTTTCCTCTACCATCCCTTCACTGTCCACCTCCCCAACTCCTCTCTAAGTCCCCTCCACCTCGGAAGTTGTAAAGTTTGTTTTGAACATAGTGTCTTGTGCCTCTCATTGTTACAATGGGTCAACCTGTATCCTTATTTCAGCATTTTGTTATTTTCCTTCCCCTTCCAAATTAGAAAAATGTATATACAAGATGCAGGGCATGGGAATCAAATACAGTGAAAATGAGTTATACCATGGGGGAAGAACATACAAAAAAAATCACATAGTTCATTATAAATGCATTAAAAATAACAGCAAGAAAGATAAAACCACTTGTGTCCTTTTCTTTGGGGTTCATTTTGCTTAGCATCATCTTATATGGTCATATGTAAATAGCTTTTGACCTTTTCTTCTTGTCCTAGACATATACTAGTTATTACAAATAAGGCAAACTATGGGACCCATGTTTCTTTGGGACTGGCTTACTTCACTTTATGTAATTTTTCCAAGTCTTTTCATTTCCTAACAAATGGGTTGGTGTCATTCTTTCTGATGGAGGCATAGAATTTCAGTGTGTGTGTGTGTGTGTGTGTGTGTGTGTGTGTGTGTGTGTGTGTGTGTGACATTTTCTTGATCCATTCATCTACTGAGGGGCATCTGGGTTGGTTCCATATCTCAGCTATGGTAAATAATACTGTGTTAAAAATAGTTGTGGTAGTAGCTTTAGTATGACCTTGTTTGGGATCATTTGGGTAAATGCCCAAAAGTGGTATTGCTGGGTCATAGGGGAGCTCAATGTGGAATCTTTTGAGGAACCACTATTTTCTAAAGTGGTTAAACAAGGTTACATTCCCACCAACATGCAGTAGAGTTTCCTTTTGGCCACATCCCCTCCAGTATCTGTTATTATTAGATTTTTTTGATTATAGCCATTCGAACTGGGGTGAGGTGGAATCTCAATGTGTCTTGATTTGCATTTCTTTTATGGCTAGAGAAGTCAAGCATTTCTTTATGTGTCTATTGGCCATACTTACTTCCTCCTCAGAGAAGTTTCTCTTTAAGTCTTTAGCTCACTTATTAATCGAGCAGTTGTTTCTTTGAGGATTTGTTGTTGAGGGATTTAATTTTTGAGTTCTAAGTATATTTTAGATATAAGGCCCTTGTCTGTTGTATGTCTAGTGAAGATCTTCTCCTAATCCATGGGCTTCTATTGATCTTGCTAGCTATGTCCTTTGCCATATAGAAGCTGTGAAGTTTCATGCAATCCCTTTTGTCCAATCTTTCTTTGATTTGTTGTGTTTCTGGGTCTTTTTAAAGAAAATTCCAGGTGAGGGGGGACCAAGATAGCGACGGGGCAGTAGGGAAATGCCACAGCTCTCCCCAACCAAAAATAGAGTTTGAGTTCCAATACTTAATCTCCCCAAGAGACCTACAACAACAAAAAGACAAACACTCAGAGAAAAATAGGAGGTGGAAAATAACAAAAAAGAAAGAGAAAAAGAAGAATTTCAGAACAGAGGAGCGCGAAGACCCCCCCCCAACTTTTACTGGCCACTTGACAGTGCGCCAAGCCATGGCCAGCCAGCCTGGCAGGGGCTGCCGGAGCCCCAGAGACACAGGGGATTGTCTGTAGATAACCGGCAGAAGCGCCTGAGGTACCAGTGTCAGACCAGCTGATCGTGAGGAATGGAGAAACCTCCTAGCCAGAAGCTTGCACAAAGATTCCGCCCCCACCCCTCACTCTCCATCCAAGCAGAGAGGCTCCATCCTGCCAAAACCACTCGACCCCACTGCGGGAACCCCAGAACTACATGGGATGCCCACAGAACACCAGAGCAGAAGACCTGCAAGGAATGGGTACTGATCCGGAGAGCGCAAACAGAGACAAACTCCAGTGCTCAGAACCTGCACGGAGTCTGCCAGAGTCCCAGAGACACAGGGGGCTGTCTGCAGATAACCCGCTCAGAAGCCGCCTGAGGTACGGGTGTCAGACCCGCCAATCGCGACGAACAGAGAAACCTCTGAGCTGGGAACTCGGCCCCATGACAGGAACCCCAGAGCTACACGGGACGCCCTGAGAACACCAGAGCAGAAGACCTGAAAGGAATGTGTGCTGAGCTGGAGAGCACAAACAGAGACAAACCCCAGTGCTCAGAACCTGCACGGAGGCCCCTACCCCACACCTCAGGCAGAGGCCGGAGGCCCATCCTGTGGCAAACAGCTTCAACCAACAGAAGAGACACAGAGCCACCACGGCCCAGCCCAGCCCGCAACCACCTCAACTAAACTTTGATTATTGCAACAGCAACCGACGACCTACATCACACAGAAACAATTACCTCCAGGGTGAGTACCCTGCAGGGGACAGTGTATCCCTCAAGGGAGACCAGAGCTGGTGGGAATCCCAAGACCCTGACCCAGACCCACTACCCCAACACCTGGACCACAGAACCCACTAAAACTGGGAACTGTTCGAGAGCTCCACCAGCCCGTGGAGCACACTCAGCTGGCCAGGCTAGAGCAAAAGCGCCCCTGGAAGGGAGCTTAAATGCCCAACCCAGGAACAGTGCCCCTGGGTCAAGACACCCAACAGTGGAAGAAATTTGAACTGTGTCCCCCAGGCTACGCAACCTAGGCAGGATACACAGCAGCACAGTTCCAACCGGTGAGCCCCAGGCCGGGGGCCAGGACCAGGCCTGGGGATCCGGTGCCTGAGCAGTACAACCAACTTCTCCCAACTGAAGTCAAAAGCTGAGCATAAGCCTCAGCAGAGGGGAGAAAAACAGGGAATTGCACCCCCTCGGAAGCACACCTGTGACAGCAAAAGACCCAGGGGCTCAGGACAAGAGAAGCCCAAACCCCACCAGAACCTGACCCATACATTCTAGGCTGGGAATTGGACAAAACAGGCCGCCAGCACCTGATAATAGGCAGGAGCTCAGGCTGGTAAGGTGGCTCAGCAATGGAGTGCTTGTCTTGGGTGCATGAGGCCCTGGATCTGATTCCTCAACACCACATAAGCAGAAAGGGCCAGAAGTGATGCTGTGGCTCAAATGGTAGGATGGCAGCCTTGAGCTGATGAGCTGAGGGACATCGCCCAAGCCCAGAGTTCAAGCCCACAACCACCCCTCCCCCCAAAAAAACCAAACCATCAGGAACCTATAGCAGACTCCAGCATCTGGGAGAGTGCATCGGGCACATCCAATCTTGCCAAGAGCACCTGTAGGAGCAAACAGGAGCAGTCTAGGCTGCTCAACCCTTCCAAAGGCGGGAACTGCCTCTCTGCTGATCTACAGCAGAGAGCCGAGAACCCTATGTGGGTCAGACCAGCAGCTGAAGGTTGGCCCCCAGCAGAACCGAGAGCAGGTACAGACTCTCTCTACTAACACAGAAACAGCAACCAAGTAAAGACAGACACCTATTGACCAAAACAAAATTTCAGATTAGTCTCCAATAATCCCTGAACTCCCATGTGAAAATCACAGAGAAAAAATTACAAGGTTTTTCAACACCCAGGATAGCAAGCTATCCCCAATAGCCAGCAGCCACCCAGGGAAGAGCCCCAGTGGGAGCAAGACAGGAGTGGAAGACAGAAGCTACATCCAAGGGATGCTGGAGGCAGTGACTCAAGAAATAAAGCAAAAAATAGACCAGAAATTGAAAGAACACAGGGACGAACTATCGAAAGAGATGCAGGATCTCAAATACAAGGTACATGCAAAAGTAGAGGCAGTACATACCTCACTAAGAAGTGAGATAAATGCCAAAATAGAGGCAGTACATACCTCATTAAGAGGTGAGATCAGTACTTTGAGAACCAACATCAAATCTATAAATGAGTCCATTTCCTCCATGCAAACCACAATGGAAGCCACAATTAACAGAGTGAATGAAATGGAATGTAGAGTGTCAGATACAGAAGACAGAATACACCAACTGGACCAAAAAATGACAGATATGGAAAAACCACTTAAATTATGCCAAAGGGAAATTCAAGAGCAAGCAGATAGTGCCAAGAAATTTAACCTTCGTATAATTGGAGTGGATGAGGTGAGGAATATCAAAGCAAGGGAATGCAACACCTATTCAACAAGATAATCGGAAGCATGTAGAACACCTAACAAGCAGAGGCCAGGAGAAACACTTCTAGACACATTATAGTAAAAATGATAGATCTGAATAATAAGGAAACAATCTTGCATGCAGCAAAAATGAAGAAGGAGCTATATTACAATGGGAAAAAATTAGAATCACGGCAGATCTCTCCACACAAACACTGAATGCAAGAAAGGCCTGGGAAAGTACCATACGAGCCCTGAGAGCCAATAACTTCCAACCCAGACTGATATACCCGACAAAGCTAGCATTCACATTCGATGGAGAGCTGAAAAACTAAATGAATACATAAAAATTAAGCCAGCATTATAAAGAATACTAAGAGGGGGAGCACAACCTGAAGAAAGCAACCAGGAACTGGGACCTGCACCCAGACAGGTATTAATAGAAGTCTAAATGAGCAACCACAGGAGGAAAGGAAAAGAAAAACTGAGG